GTAGGTAGGTAGGTAGGTAGGTAGGTAGGTAGGTAGGTAGGTAGGTAGGTAGGTAGGTAGGTAGGTAGGTAGGTAGAATTAGATAGATGTTAGGGATAGATGATAGATAATTATGGATAGATGATATAGATATTAATTATGAGAGAGAGATACTGTAGGTAGGTAGGTAGAGATAGATAGATAGATAGATGATAGGGATAGATGATAGATAATTATGGATAGAGATAGATGACAGATAATTATGCAGATAGATAGATAGATAGATAGATAGATAGAGAGAGAGAGAGAGAGAGAGAGAGAGAGAGAGATAGATAGATAGATAAGCAGGCAGGCAGGCAGGCAGGCAGGCAGGCAGGCAGATATGGATAGATGGACAGACAGGGATAGATGTGGATGGATATAGATGGATGGATAGATATATGATGATAAGATGACAGATAATAGATGTTAGTTACAGAGAATGAGAAAGATAATAGTTGATTGATAGATACAGAGAATCCAAGAAAGAGATAATAGATATAGAAAATGAGAAAGATAATGTAGATACAGAGCATGAGAGAGAGAGAGATATATATAATAGCAAGATAGAGATTCTCTACGACCGCAGTTCTCAACTTCGGAATCTTTAAGGTGGGCAGAATTCCCCATGCTGGCTGGGACATTCTGGGAATTGAGGTCCAGACATCTTGAAGTTTGAGAAGCCCTGATTTATAAGACACCTGTTCTACTGAAATAATAATTATGTGGCGCTGGTGCCAACCTTGTCCCATCTCTGATCTCAAAACTCCTTCCGGCCTTTCCCCCACCCCCCTCCCCTGATAACGGCATCTCACAATTCTTGGGGGGGGAGGGGCGAAAGGCGTGCAAAATGGTGGCTTTAACTAACCTGCCAATTCCCGCTGCTCAGGGCTGACTTTCCCGGCCGCCAGGATCATGGGGACGCTGCCGAAGTAGCCGTTGGTGATGCCCATCAGGAGGGAGAAGATGCAGGGCCATGCCGGGTGGCTAAAGGTGGGCTTCCCATTGGGGTAGACGCAGAGGATAAACAGCGGGATGAAGACCACTCGCAGGCAGGAGCAGAGAAGGAGGTGGACTCCCCTCCAGTCATACGGCAACGCCGCCAAAATCTGAAAATTGCAGGGGGGGGGGGAAGGGAGATTCTTACGAACCTGCGGAATCCACAAGAGAAATGTTCAAGAGACTTCCTGGATCTGTTTTAGGTAAAGGTAAAAGGTTCCCCTCACACATATGTCCTAGTCATTCCAGACTCTAGGGGGTGATGCTCATCTCCGTTTCAAAGCCGAAGAGCCAGCGCTGTCCGAAGACTTCTTCGTGGTCATGTGGCCAACATGACTCAACGCCGAAGGCTCACGGAACGGTGTTCCCTTCCCACCAAAGGTGGTTCCTATTTTTCTACTTGCATT